TCTCTCTCTCTCTCTCTCTCTCTCTCTCTCTCTCTCTCTCTCTCTCTCACACACACACACACACACACACACACACACACACACACACACCCCTCTGTCAGTCAACAGTACTACAGCAATTTGTACATGATTAATGAAGGGTAAGGATGCCTTCTATTTCACCCAAAGTTAGATGAAGGAGCTGCAACAATCTTATTGGAGAAAATAACTAAGAGTTTGGCTTGAAAATAGTGACTCCAATTTTCTAGCCTTTGCATTTCAGACCAAGTTCACAACCCAGAGGCCTGCGTGCAAAGGCTAGAGAATGAATCTGCATGTGCATATATGTCTGTAGTATTTAGCACAGTGTTTGGTATGTAAGAGGTACTTAATGAATGGTTGTTGACTGGCTACGTGAGATCATGGATTGGGAGCTGGAAAGGTCTTTAGAGGTCATCTAGTCCAACCCTCTTCTTTTATAGATGAGGAAACTGAGGCCTAAAGAGATAGTAAATTGACCAAGATCATGTGAGTTGATTAAGTGAGAAATTGGGTTTTGAATCCAGGTCGTTTGACACAGACACGGTGCTCTTTCCACACTGAACTCATCAGATATTAAGGACCAGCTTTACCAGCAGGTGTAATTTATACAAATAAGCTAAATGCAACATCTCTCTCTTATCGATATCAATTTTACCTTTGTTGTTGTTGTTGTTGAGTTGCTTCAGTTCTATCCTACTCTTTGTGACCCCATTTGGGGTTTTCTTGGCAAAGATACTGGAGTGGTTTGCCATTTCCTTCTCCAGCTCATTTTATAGAGGAGGAAACTGAGGCAAACAGGGTGAAGTGACTTGTCCAGGGTCACACAACTAGTAAGTGTCTGAGGCCAGATTTGAACTCCGGAAGATGTATCTTCCTGACTCCAGACCTAGTGCCCTGTGCACTATGGCACCACCTAGTGTCCCATAGTTCATGGTCAGTAGGTGTCAATGACTTGTGGTTTCGTCCATGTGGGAAGATCTTCAACTTGCAGAGCTTTCAGCTGTTCTATAACTTAGAACCTT